AACAGAACATTGGAAGATCACTGAACATGGTAACGTGTTCCGCTATACCTCAAACAGAATATTATTTTCATTTACACAATTCGAACTGATGCAAGGAAATGAGAAAAAAAAACAAAAAAATGTAAATGTGAGATTAATTTTGTACTTTAAAATGACTGTTGTTGACAACAATGCATTTTTCTCAGCTTTTTGTATGGATTTTCTTTTATGAAAATGCACAAATTCAAGTGGTGATAGAAAAGTAATGGAATAAGAGAATAAAATGGTTTATTTGTGTTATAAAACAGAAGGTCTCTTTTTTAGTTTCATGTATATACTGTTTACATATTCATAGAACAAAGTATTATATGGGTCTTGAAAGATTAGTGAATATGCTCAAATTGTTGGCGGTGGCTGGGAATTTAAAAATAATTCTCTGGCGTGGAAAGTGTTAGAAAACTAAAAAGTTACACTTTTGTTGAAATTTTTATTTTTTTAAATTATTATTTTTCCTGAAAACCCCTGGATAAATGCAAGCACAACCAACCCCATATATTGATGAGGTTGATTGTCACAATGTCTTTGATAGTTCATTACTTACTCGTTAGAATTAGCCTAATCGTAAAAATGAAATAGATACCCATTTCAAGCCAAGACCTGACATGACTATTCTAAGATGTTTTGATGGTGAGTAATTCACACAAGAGTAAAAAGTGTGACAACCAACCCTGGTCTCCCCTACTACTATGGTTATTTTATATCTTCAATATCCAATCGAATATATAAATAGGAATGAAATAAAATAGAATAAAATGTTGTTTTCTTGTGTGTTTAAAAACAGACATTCTCTTCTTTAGTTCCATATAAATACCGTAAACATATTCATAGAACAAATTATTCTGTTGGCCTTGAAAGATTACTGAATATGATCAAAAATGCTGGTGGTGGCTGGCAACTTAAAAATAATACTCTGGTGGGGAAAGTGTTAAAAAAAAAACTAAAAAGTTACATGTTTTTTGAAAATCTTTTTTGCCCCCTGAAACCACATTGTTAACTGCAGGGACAACCAATCCCATACATTGTGATGGGATTGGACAACCAACCCTGGTCATGGTTATTTAATATCTTTAATATCCAATCTAATATATTAAAAAGGAATGAAATAAAATAGAATAAAATGATGTTTTTTGTGTGTTTAAAAACAGACATTCTCTTCTTTAGCTTCATGTAAATACTATAAACATATTCATAGAACAAGTTATTCTGTGGGTCTTGAAAGATTAGTGAATATGATCAAAAATGCTAGTGGTGGCTGGCAACTTAAAAATAATACTCTGGCGGCGAAAGTGTCAAAAAATTAAAAAGTTACATGTTTTTACAGTTACATGTTGTTTCTTTTCCCCCCCTGAAACCACATTGTCAACTGCAGGGACAACCAATCCCATACATTGTGATTGGATTGGTTGTCCCAATGTGTCAGGGTGTCTTTGATGGTTAATCACTTCTTGTTACAATCAGCTGTAAAAATGAAAGAGATACTCATTTCAAGCCAAGACCTTATGCTTTAGTTTAATGTAGGAATGACTACTGTAAGATGTTTTGGTGATGATGTGCAATTCACACAAGGGTGAAAAGTGTGACAACCAACCCCGGTCTCCCCTACTACTATGGTTATTTAATATCTCTAACATTTAACCAATGACCCAGAGTTAGTAGTGGCTTAATATTTATTACAGTGTCAGTGTAACTTAACCCAGACATGACTTACACTGATATTATCTGCAGTATGCTGTTACATGTGTAAATACATGGTGTCCTTATAGTATTATGATCATATGTATATAATATTCCAGTGTCCTAGTGTAACTTGAGTGCTTGGTTTTTACTCTAAATGACTGAAGGTGTTGAATACAGACACCATCACCTATAGATAATATTCCGTTATTTACCTGTTGACTCCACGGAGCTGTGTGCTTCCTCGGGAGGGATCACCGATGCGTCCTTCTCCGCTCCGGGGCTCTCGCTGTCACCGTCCCCGGCGGTGGCCTTCCTCCGCTTCCCCCTCACGGTCCGGTAGATGATGAAACCCGCCAGCACCGACACGATCGCAATGACAGCCAGAGCCACGGCGGGACCGTGGCGCCCGATCATGCAGAAGAGAGAGGCCAGATCCATGCGTCTCTCCGCGGCCACGGTGTTGCCTTTACTCAGCGGCATCGCGGTGTGCTGCGAAAAAGCCCGTCTGTGATGTATCTCTGTGTGTGTGTGTGTGTGTGTGTGTGTGTGTGTGTGCGTGTGTGTGTGTGTGAAGGCCTGGCTGATCCGACTGAAGCTGCTGCAGGCTGTCGCTGCTGTGTCGAGCCGTGCTGTGCCGTGCCTTGCTATGCTGTGCGTGCTCTCCTCCACGTTTCCAAGTGTAGTGACCTCTTGTTGCTGCAGAGCTGCAAACGGTGCAGGTGCGGGCTTCTCATTGGCTGAGCGCATCACGGGGACTCGGGCATTCATTCATAAAAAGGGAAAGGGACTTGTTTTTGCAGCCTGAGTCACACATCCCACTGATGGGATTTGGATCCAGTGAAACCACGGCAACACAGCATGAAGAGATACTGAAAGGATTAGTCTCATCAAAGGCAGGACAAATGGTCACCTCCACCCAGAGTGTGTGTGTAAGTGTGTGTGACCACGGTTTCTTCATGTCTCTTATTAAGCTGTAGGATGTGTGTAATTAAAAAATGCATATCAACAAACCAACATTAAATCTATTTGACACTTTCACTGTGCCAAACATTTGGATATGTTTTCATTTTTAGATCCAGCTTACATATTTTACACTGAATCACCACAGTTAAAGGGATAGTTCAGATTGTTTGAAGTGGGTTTGTAGGGTATACTTATACTTATCAATAGGATTTATTGGACCCTTAGTAAAATAGCACAGTTAGGACTTAAATACTCTGATCTGTGCTGGAGATGTGACACTACTTTTGGCACCCCCTTACAATTGTTGTCCTCATGCCCCATGATAGATCTTCTGTGGTCTAAGATTATTGCCTTCATCAGTACAGTGATGTCATTTGCACTCGTACACACACCAATGCTTTTCTCATGGTGCAGGATAGCGCTTATTACTGGATGCAGGATAGTGCTACGGCATTGGAAAACTAAAGGAGATATATATCAGTGAAGGAGTGGTTTGAGCCCCCTGTAAAAGTCCCACCTAAGAAAATCAATATGAGTTTAAGTGTATGCTATATCGAGAGTATTTTGACTCCTTTACCTTTTACACCAGACTGCCCATTTTGATGGGGAAGGTGTTATGCGCTTCAGTGCCCCGTCTATGCTCTCATCAAAGCCACCAGACTCCATTGAGAAAAACAGTGATTTAACATAGCTGATTACAGGAGCTGCTGATCTACCACTGCTTCGATTAATTAGTCAGTTTGTGTTATTGTGTGACTTTGCTGAATCAGGACTAACCCTTTTAAACGCTGAAGTCACACAATAACACAAACTAACTAACTGACGGACGTAGATGTAGACCAGCAGCTCCTGTAGTCAACAGTGTTAAATCACTGTTTTTCTCAATGGAGTCTGGCTTTGAAGAAAGCAATATAACAGCTTCATTCCCATTGAAAATCACTGTCTGACATTAAGGTAAAGCAGTGAAAATACTCTTAATATAGAGTACACTTAAACTCATATTGATTTTTATAGGTGGCTAAAATAGATTTTATTGCTGACCCCTCCACAGCAGTAGACTTTAGTTTAGCCTCCATGTCAGACTCCAGCCTGCTTCTCCAAACTGGGGGCGTGCCGCTTGACATCTACTGTATGTAATATACTGTCTATGGATAGAAACAGAGGCGTAAATATAGACAGAGAATGTAGTGTGGTTGCACTGGGGCCCATGGGGTGGAGGGGCCCGACTGCCACCTGGAAATACGCCCGTGTTCAAAGAAGAACTCAAAGAACTTAACTTAAAAAACTATAATTTGCCAATAAAAAAACCATCAAGTTAAACTAATAATTTCCTATTTTCTTTTGTAGATTTGTCTTATACAGATATGTAATGATGATTGCTGTGTAATATGTATGTTAATGTGTCCAATATCAAGTATCTGCAAGTGGATGTAACGTAAAAGCGGCAGTGAGACACACCGTTGCTACCTGAAACTGTGTGTGTGTGTGTGTGTGTGTGTGTGCTTCATAACTTGTAACTAGCGCGTAATAGGGCCCCTCATAATAGCGCGCACTGGGGCCCGCTGTAACTGCCTTTTACCACTGGATAGAAACACCATACAGTTCCTCTTAAAGATTCTGAACTATCCCTTTAAGTGTTGGAAATCAGCATGTCATTCCATGCTTTACACCGAGGCATTGGTTGCTGCTCAACTGCTGTGGGGAAAATACAATCAATGCCAAGCACTGTACTGTCACTCTATTTCATTTCTTTCAAATGCGTTAAGTGGAAAACTAAAATGCAATACGAGTATGATATTGGTTATATAACCATTGAAGTTTTTGTTTTGCTTTGGATGTCATAAAAACGTCACAGTGTGTGCACTTTTCCTGTGTGGCCTTGAATTATATGCTGGCTCCTTAAAATGGCGCTCAGTCATCAAAACCTTGAGCTCCCCTGATCTAAGATTTGTGGTTTAAAATGCTCTTAAATGGTCAGTTTCAAAATGTCTTCCCCCAGACCTCCCTGGAGGGTTGGGTTGCAGGAGGAGTTGATTAAAAATGGTTCGCCCTTACCCCCATAAAAAGTGATTGCGGCTCTGCTTTACACGTAAAACATATACTTGGAAGGTCCTTTTTTGGAAATTAAAAAAACCACGCATTTTAGGGCATCTTCTAAACTGTAAGAGCTGTGTGTTGGTCTGATTTCAAAGCGAGCTTACAGTAGTGTAAGGTTTGAGACTGAAATGTAACAAATTTAATAATGAATTGGTATTATTAATATCGTTAACTCTCATGGACATGTCCTCTCACTTGTGTTATCGGAATAACTGGATACTTACAATCAATATATTCCAGTAAACATGGCAAAACGCAGGTCAAGGATATTGATCTGAGAAAGATGATACAATAATGTATGCAAAGGCTACTACATAGTACGCATGGTGTCAGTAATCCTCTTGGATTAATAGAGAAACATTAATAAATATACATAAAGGTGAGATCTGTCACAGAGGAAATTTCAAGAGCACACAGGAATGATTCAAGTGACATCAGCACGCCTGAGTAATGGCCCCACCCAGTGGAGAGATGTGGTAACGACAGGAAAGTTCCTGAAGACTCTGGAGCTCCTCCAGTGAGAATATAAAAGCTGGGACAGTCCCACTGCTGAGACAGAAAGCAACACACACTTTAACAAGAGGACTCGACACTGAACACACACTGAGGATGCTGTGCTCTCATGGACTCCACTCAGTCCTCTGGCCTGTACGCGTCCTGAAGCCAGAGGTCAGACCCCTGCTCCACCAGCAGGATCTACTGCAGAGAAACCTACAGGAGCTCCGCAGCAGTCTGGAGCTGATGGACAAACTTCAACACAAGATCCAGGAGGAGACGGAGCCTTTCCAAACCAGCATGGCCGTGCAGCTGGAGGAAGAGGGAGAGCACTTCGGCCTGACCCTGGACACTCGAGGCTTTTCCCCAGAGGAGCTGTCTGTCAGACAGGAGGGCAGGAAGCTGAGAGTCAGCGGGAAGACAGAGAAGAAGCAGGAGGACGGGAAAGGCTCCTACTCTTACAGACTCCAGGAGTTCAGACAGGAGATTGATCTGCCCCAAGGATCCAACCCTGAAGCCGTCACCTGCTGCCTGGCTCCAGACGGGAAGCTCCACATCCAGGCAGCCAAAGCTCCATGTGTTCAGGAGGCTGAGAGAGAGCTGACTATCAAGAGGAGCTCGGAGGAGGAGACACACACAGACGACAGCAGCACACAGGGCACACCTGGAAACATGGACTCACCTGCATGATGTTGTTGAACTTGTATAGATTAACTTTCAGTAAAATGATTGAATTATAATCATATAAGCTTTTGTATACATGAAAATGTTTAACAGATAGATTAAAAAGTTGATTCATATTCTCCACTTTCTTTTGTCTGAGTTGGTGACGAATAAACATCTCCAAACAATGAAAACAACACACCACCTTCAGTTATTATCAGTCATCACAGGGAGTGTTTATATGACCACTTGAACCTTGTGCACTCCTGACCTCTTGTGGCCAAAGCTTGTAGAACACTCTCCTTTAGCTGCTTTGCTCCTGGCCATTGTTCTATTGGTTCATGACAACTGTGATCTATAAACAGTTGAATGAAGTAAACTTTTAGGCCCAGATGTGTTTGCACTGCTGTTTGAACAACAAGAAACATTTATTTTGATGGAACATTGCCTAAGAGTTCAGGTTAGTGAGGGTTAACAAGCCATCCAAAATGATTTGAATACAAAAATGTCACTAACAAAGATCACACCAATAGAGATATAGATTCATGTTAGTTCACTGCATATGATGGATTGAGAGTCTGGATAGAGGGATAAGGGTCAAGGGATGTGGTATAAAGAGAGTTACGTACAGGATGTGGAATGAAGGGATGAGGTTTGGGGGGATGAGGGTCAAGGGATGAGGGATGAAAGTTTGAGGGTCATGGGATGAAGTGAGGGTCAAGAGGTGTGAGATAAAGAGATAAGGGTCATGGAATGTGGAATAAGGGATGAGGGTTAAGGGTTGGGGGATGAAGGGATGAGGGTCAGGGGTATGGGATGAAGTGATGGAGGGATGGAGAAAAAGGTAGGGGGGTGTAGGGAGAAATGGGAGTCGTGTACAGGTGGGGGGTGGAGTGCGATGGCAGTCTAGTGCTGCCTGAAGATGGAAAGGCTGAGTGGAGGAGTTTGCGGGTAGAGCCTCCTGGTGGTTACAGAGAGAGATTACAGCAAAAAAAATAAAAAAGAAAGTTTTTTGGGGGGAGAGCTATGTGAGAACTGAGTCAGAGGGAAGTGGAATAAATCCACCGTGCTTAAATACTTTTAGTACAAAAACAGAATGCGACTAAGGAGTGGTCTTTGTTCCTGAACTTAGTCATAAAACATCTTATAATCTGGAAAGGATCTTCAAAATGGATGCAGGACATATCAAGAGTAATAATATGACCATTAGGTACACTTGTGTCAGTGATACCAGTGACATTTCAGCTGTAGTTTGAATAACAGACTGTAAGTATTGGCTTATATTACATTAGTTTATATTAAACAGCTTAGTATTAAACAGTAACTATTAGCTGGCAAATGAAAGACTAATAACCAATAGATGGACTAGTAGTAGCAAGTACTTGTAATAACCAGGGTTGGGTGAATTAAAATCCTTTGTCCTGCTAAATGTAATATTATATTATTTTACAAAGGTGTAGGTTCAGTTTTAAGTTTGTTGGACACAGTCCCCCAGTCCCAAATGGATCCCTTACAGGCTCGTTGACTCAAGCCCTAAGCCCTTACAGACCTAGGACCAATTCCATTTCTTCCCCTTAGCCCTTGTCTTGGCCCTTTCCCTTGGTTTTGCGTGTTCACGTGAGGGTAAGTGGTGCCTCAATTCTCCGTCAGGTTAAGAGCCTGACAGAGAATTGGGGCACTGTAAGGGGTTAGGGCTCAACGAGTCTGTAAGGGATGCATTTGGGATTGGGGGACAGTGTGTATGTATGCTACATCAGCCTTAAAGGGAAATTTCGGTTTATTTCAACCTGTCTCCTATTGTACTAGCCTAGGCACAGCCGGGGCGCATAGTTGCGTCAGACCTGTTAAAATGTAAGTGAATGGGCAACCTTCAAGTGCAAAGTTCGTCCACTAAACAAGCTTTTTTTCCACAAAGACCGCCTCATATCGTTAGGATAAATGTCAGAGAACATATAGAAAACTACATGTAAACGTGTTGTCTTACCTTACCGGTGTGCTGCCATGTTTGTTTACCATTTAGCTCTGCTTTCCAAAGCACGGCCGAAATATCGCGAGAACAGGCAGCAACAGCTGCAAGGCAGAACCGGACAATAGCCTGAAAAGTTCATTCATTTATTTCATGAAAGATTTATAGAATAATGGCTGTCTTTTTGCCAGACTTTGACTTTGTGGAGGAGGAATTTGATTTTGCAGAGTTTGATGGCCGCCCTTATTTATTTGAGCCAGAATACACTGACGAAGAGCTTCGTGAAATTGAAGAACGGAGGAGGAGAGAGAGAGAGGCGCAACAGGTAGAGGACGAGAGAGGAGGAATGGCTGCTGCTCTGGAGATTGGTGGTGTACCTGTGAATGCTGTGCCCCAGTGCCCACAGAAGAGGAATGCCTCTGTTGCAAGGAATGGGACCGGTTGCAGCCTTATTTTCAAGGTCTGGATGTGACCGAGGACGAGACACCTCCACCTGGAGTAGTATCCAGCTGGGCTTCATCTAGAGGCCGCAAGATATATTTCAGCCGCGCTGGTAAGGTAAGACAACACGTTTACATGTCGTTTTCTATATGTTCTCTGACATTTATCCTAACGATATGAGGCGGTCTTTGTGGAAAAAAAGCTTGTTTAGAGGACTAACTTTGCACTTGAAGGTTGCCCGTTCACTTACGTTTTAACAGGTCTGACGCTACTATGCGCCCCGGCTGTATCTAGGCTAATGGCTAACATGCTAACTATTATTTTTATGTCACTAGTCACTTGAAACAAATTTAGGACGATAGGAGACAGGTTGAAATAAACCAAAATTTCCCTTTAATCATGTGGCTTCCCATGCTGATCTGTTTTCTTCTTGCAGGAGCCTGGCTGGGTCGTCAGAGCACCTGGCTGCACCTGAGAGGTGGGAGTGGCAAAAGGCATAAAAGGGCTGTTTTCCGGGGCTGAGCTTTCAGTGTTTGGCCAGCCTCAACATCTCTTCATGGCCTCTGCACCGTTATATTTTCACTTATCTGTCATGCCTTAAACGCAGGGTTAGAAATTAGCACCAGCCACCAGCCAAATGCTGATGAAATATGCAAGTGGCTGCTAAATTTGCTTCACTCTCCAGTCAAAAACAAAGCAATGGTAGCAAGTGGCTGGTACATTTTGCCACTGTTACTGGTGGACAAAAATGTTTCCAATCCTGCTTACACTACTGACTCCCTCCATATCTCCTCTCCCCATCTTATTCTTCCTATAAATTAGATACATTGGATAAACTAATAATTAATCAAACTCCCTATTGTTTCAAACCTAAGCTGCTAAGTGTGATGAATGTGTTTTTTCAACACATGCTGTTGCTTGTCCTGCTTTGTCTAAAAGTTTGTGAAACTAGAACAGAATAAAGTGACACATGAAGCTGCTGCAAGGCCGAAACTTTAATGTGGCAAGAACATCCCAGCAGGCATGATTAAAAAAACAAATCCATAGTGTTGTGGGCTCACCTGTTCCCACTTCACCTCATCAGCACTGCAGCTGCCTGACCTCACCTGCTCACCTGCCTTTAATTTTCCCCAATCAGCTCACTTTTACACACAGCTCATTTCTGCTTGTGTCCTGTTAAAGTTGCTGTGCTAACATTGTTGGTTTATTCCTCTGTTTTCCAGCCACCTGTAGCAATATCTGCATCCTCTGTGTACCTGTATCTGTTGATTTCTTTAATGAATTACTGAAAATCTTTTGCCTGGACTACATGCATGTGGGCCCTTCATCTGTTGCTTACACTGGAGCCGTGACACCTGGGGCACTTAACCTGTCATTTTATGTTTAAATCTCAAAGTAGTCAAATGTCCAACTTTTCTTGACTGAGGAAGGACACGTGAGTTTTTACTGAATTAGTAGAGGCTTAAATACATATTTTTTTTCATAACCTGATAGACTTTTATTTGTGTGTCATAGTTAAATCTTGTTTTAATCTGATGAAGGCAACATGACAAGTTTTCTGGAATCTTTAAAGGTTACCAAGTTCAATTTAATACATTTTAAGAGCTGTTTTGGATGTGGAGGCAAAGCATTTATAATAACACAATGCTATTACAGAAAAAATACAGACTGGTTCCACCATTCATGGAGAAGGATGCTGAGAAGTACTTCCCTCATTTTGAGCGTGTTGCAAAAGTTTCTACGTGGCCTCAGCAGGCTTGGATGCTGCTGCTCCGAAGTGTGTTGGTAGGAAAGGCTGTGGAAGCCTGCTCTGTTTAGAGCTATCAAGAAAGTGAGGATTATGATACAGTTAGATATGCTATCCTCAAGGCTTATGAGATACTTCCTGAGGCTCAACGATTCAGAAGCATCAGTGAGCCTAACTTATGTGGAGTTTGCTAAAGCAGATGAGTTCATTTTGACTCATAAGATTAATTTCAATAAGTTCAGCCATGAGCCAAAACGGACAGCGCGCTTGCAGATGCACGTTCAAGGTCTTGAGTATCATTGATTCAACGGATTTACCTGCTTGTTTATCTGAAAGGTTGCCTGACATCAACCTGCTTATGGGTGGGGCTGTTATGTATTGGTATGCTTGACAATTTGACCAGATAGAGGAAGAAGAAAGGCAGGACACTCCCTCCTCCCCTCTCGCTACTTCCCCTCAGCTTCCCCTTGATGTAGAGATATTACCTGTTATGGTATTTATCATTTTAAAGATGATGGGTCATTTACAGCTATCTGTTGGGGGATATATGTAATGCGATGTGTCTGGTGTATGTATGATATGTGGTGTTGTCAGGTGTTGGGCATATGGACATGACCATGTATGGAGTCTGCTCACCCTGCTACTGACTGGATTTAGTGCAGCTGCAGCTTTGTTAAAATCACCTGTGCAACAAACCTGATGAAGCCTTGGGCCAAACATGTTGTTTCAAACATTTCAAATGAAGACTGAATTAAAAGAGGAAGTATGTTAGCCCTCTTGTGTGCTGTGCATCTACTTAGTTACTATCAATTCTAAGACTCTGTTTTTAAATTCCAGTTCAATTAAAGAAACAGTGGAAGTTTATTTTTCTTGCCTTGTACTTACCAGGAATTTTCTTTGAGGTTTTCTGGTGGGACTTCTCTTTGTCACTACAGTACATCACATATTCACCTCATATAGTTTAAATTTGTAAGGAAAAATGAAAAGAGAACTGAGACAGAGTGGAGAGTGTAGTA